CTGCAACTGATGAATGGATAAAGAAGATGTGGTATATATATACACAATGGGGAATACTACTTAGCCATAAAAAAAGACAAATTCATCCCATTTGCAACAACATAGATAGAGCTTGAGGGTATGATGTTAAGCAAAATAAGCCAGACAAAGAAAGACAAATACTGCACGATTTCATTCATATATGGAAGATAAACAAACACATGGATAAAGAGAACAGAAGAGTGGTTACCAGAGGGGAAGGGGCCTGGGGGGTGTGCAAAAGGGTAAAGGGGCACATATATATGGTGATGGATAAAAATTAGACTATTTGTGGTGAGCATGAATCAGTCTATACAGAAACTGATAAATAATAATGTACACCTGAAATTACACAGTTATAAACCATTATGACCTCAATGAAATGACTGAAAAAAAAATGTGTTATTTAGTTTCCACAATTTTATGAATTTTCCAGTTTTTCTTCTGTTATTGACTTCTAACTTCATCCCATTGTGGTCAGAGAAGATACTTTGTATGGTATCTATGTATTTTAATCTATTGAGACTTAATTTGTGGCCTAACATATGGCCTATCCTGGAAAATGTCCCACGTGCACTTGAGTCTTCTCAAGTGTATTCTGTTTTCGTTGTTTGTGTTCTGTATATGTCTGTTAGATCTAGTGGGTTTATTGTTACTTAAGTACTCTATTTCCTTATTTATTTTCTCTCCGGTTGTTTTTTCCATTATTTTGAGTGGGTATTGAAGTTTCCAACTATTACTGTAGAACTATTTCTGTCTTTAATCTGTCAGTTTTTGCTTCATATATTTTCCTGGTCTGTCATTAGGTGCATAAATGTTTGCAATTGTTATATCTTCTTGCTGGATTGAAGCTTTAATTAATATATAATGTCTTTCTTTTTCTCTTGTAACCTTTTTTGATTTAAAGTCATTTTGTCTGATATTAGCATAGCCACACCTGCCCTCTTTTGGTTACTGTTTGCATGGAATATCTTTTTCCATCCTTTCACTTTCAACCTGTTCATGTGTTTGGACCTCAAGCGAATCTCTTGTACACAGCATATAGTTGGATAATGTGTTTTTATCCATTCTGCCAATTTCTGTCTTTGATTGCAGAGTTTAATCCATTTGCATTTAAAGTAATTACTGATAAGGAGGGACTTCTGTCATTGTGTTGTTTGTTTTCTACATGCCTTACAGCTTTTTGTCCCTCACTTCCTGCATTGCTGTCTTCTTTGTGTTGAGTTGATGTTTTGTCATGAAATGTTTAAATTTCTTTCTCATTTTCTTCTTTGTATATAGCTATTTTCTTTGTGGTTACCATGGGAATTACATTTAACATCCTAAAGTTATAACACTCTAATATGAATTTTTACCAACTTAACTTCAATAACATACAAAAATTCTCCTCCTTTACAGCTTTGTTCCCACTCTTTTCAGTTGTTGATGTCACAAAATTATATCTTCATGTGTTATGTGCCCACTAACATACACTAATAATTCTTTTAAATGCACTAGTCTCTTAAATTATGTAGAAAACGAGATTTGGAGTTACAAATGAAAGTTACAATAATCCTAGCTTTTACACTAATATTCTTTTCTTTAAATGTATTAGTCTTTTAAATCATGTAGAAAACAAAAAGTGCAGTTACAAACCATTGTTACAATAGCACCAGCTTTAATAACTGCCCATGTATTTACTTTTATTGAGATCTTTATTTCTCCCTATGGCTTTGAGATACTGTCTAGTGTCCTTTCATTTCACCGTGCAGGACACCCTTGAGCATTTCTTGCAAGGTAAGTCTAGTGGTCAAGAACATCCTCAGGTGTTGTTTATCTGGGAATGTTTTAATATCTCTCTCACTTTTTAAGGATAGTTTTGCTGGATATAGGATGTTTGGTTGACAGTTTTTTCTTTTAGCACTTTGAATACAGTCATGCTTTGCTTAATAACGGGGTTAGTTCTGAGAAATGCGTCATTAGGCGATTTTGTTGTTGTGTAAACATCATAGAGTGTACTTACACAAACCTAGATGGTACAGCCTACCACACACCTAGGCTATATGGTACTAATCTTATGGGACCACCATCACATATGCGGTCTGTCATCGACCAAAACATCATTATGCAGCACATGACTGTGTGTCAGCCCAGTGCCTTCTGGTCTCCAAAGTTTCTGAGGAGAAATCTGCTGATAATCTTACTGAGGATTCCTTGTATGTAATAATTTGCTTTTCTCTTGCTGCTTTCAAGATTCTCTTTTTGTCTATTAAAAGTTTGATTATAATGTGTCTTGGTGTGGGTCTCTTTAAGCTCATCTTACTTAGAGTTTGTTAAGCTTCTTTGATGTTTATATTCATGTCTTTCATCAAATTTGGGAATTTTTTAGCCATTATTTCTTCACATATTCTCTGTCCCTTTCCCTCGCTCTTCTCCTTCTGGGACTCCCACAAGGCCTCTGTTATTCCCCTTGATGGTGTCCCTTAGGCCCTGCTCATCTTTTTTCAATCTTTTCTTTGTCTTCTACAGATTCAATAACTTCCATTGTCCTATCTTCAAGTTCACTGGTTCTTGCTTCTGCCTGCTCAAACCTGTGGATGGCAATGTTTTGTGTTTATCGCACTTATTTTCACAGTTATCTCTCATGGCAAGTGTTAGGCGGCATGAGGATTTGGTGACACAAAATCGTGGAGGTGATCCTCCAAGACTGAAGTTCCAAAGGCATCTATTCAGGTCCTGCCTGCTTCTGAGCCTCTGCTGCCCACCCAGCTGGAGCCACATGCTCTCCCTCGATAGATGCAGGCTCAACTTCACCTTGGTCTCAAGAATGAAACCTGGCTTCAGGCCAGAGGCATTGCTTAGGCTCCAACTGAGCCCTGAGGGCCTCAGAATGGAGTCTTCCCACTGTCAGCCAAGCCTGGGGGTTTCTGGCTTGTGCTTGAATACCATCTCTGTTATGTGCCACCTGAGTGGTTGCCGATCCCTTCCCCCACTCCTCCTGCCACCATAGATGAGAGACTTGACCCTAAGGCCCAGCTACCAGCTGGCTGACCTCCTGAAACATCTACTAGCCTGAGCATCCATGTCTGGCATGCCCCTGGCTGCCCTGCATCCTCAGGGGTGACAGCCTCTTGTTCCAACCAGTAACCACACTTTTCTCAGTTCTCTTCCTGTAACACTGGGCTACTTTCCATAAATAGCTGTTGTCCCCTCATGGGGGACCCTCATGGTGGGCCCACCTCCTGGAGCCTATCTGCTCCAAGTCTGCCTTACCCTAGAACTGCAAAGGGGGCCAGCTGGTGAGGTGTGACAGCACATGTGTATGGAACAGATAGTGGAGGTCCCAAACCCAAAGTGACTGAAAACTAGAACAACTCTACAATATATTGTCCAAACTGGGGAAGTTCTTAGAGTGAGAGTGAGCATAATTAATAGTTATGTCAGGATGATAAGCATAAACTTGGACATTCCTGGGCAAGACAGGACATATAGTTACTTATAAACTATTAGGGAAGGTTAACCACCCGTCCTAGCACACATGTGTGAGAACAATTCTGAAACGTAAGAAGAACCTATAATAAATGCAGCATCATTGAACATACATCCTAGTGAGAATGATGCAACATCATAACAAATTACATCTTAGTGGGGTAGCAGAGGAAAACAGCCACATAGACACAGAGACCAACAGACATATATAACTTTTGCTTTGGAACAACCTCACTCAAGGCATCACCCTCAAGGTCATTAGGAAGAAAAATCATGAAATCACTGTGTCTTGAGGATACTTTGTTTTCCCTCAAAGGGACTGTGTCCATTTAGGGCCAGCTCAAGAGGGGAGATAAAACCAGAAGCACATAAAGTGGGATACCAGAAATGATGCTGTGGGTTATTGAAACACAATGAGAGAAAACACATCACAGATGTAAAGGAACCAGGGCGACGAGAGGGGGCAGTTGAATCTACTCCATGCGGGAAGCTGAGGATGTCAGCGCCATTAGGGAAGGCATTCTTTGTCTTAGAGTCCACATGTGTGCCCCCAGCATTTAGGACACTGACTGACAACTAGCTATTGCTCAATAAACATTGGTTCACTGACTGAAAGGATATAGGATCAGCTTGATACAGAGGGTGAGGCCTGGAGGAAGGCAAATCACACAGCCAATCAGGGGCAGGGGCAGGAATAAAATCCAAACTTCTCAACTTCCAGCCTTAGCTCCAGTGTCTGTGGGAATCAGCTGGACGGTCTTTGAGCATTCCCGCCTTATGTCGATCCTCCCACCACCTCTTTGCAAATGCAATCCTCCTCTACCTACCCCATTCCACCACTCTGCCATCATAGCCCAGAGGGCCCTGGGAGTTCCATGAGGCCTTACCCTGCCCTCTCCAGCTCCAATTTATCTCTCCCCTGAGCTTCTGGCTGCATGGTTGTTGCTACACTGTCTGGTCTCATCTGCCACCTGTTCTTTCCTTTAAGCCTTTCCCTCTGTTGCATGTCTTCCCCAATAGAACAGGAATGCCTTGTATGTCTTTGTTTTCTGCCTGCATGAACTGGCCTAGTGTGGGACACGCTATTAGGTTTGGTGTCCAAATACCTCTCTTCAGATACTGGTTCCCCCACTTGGTATGTGAGAACGGGCAACACAGATCTCTCTCTGAGCAGAGAGGGTGTATTTGGGATACTGTAGGAGGTGGGCAATGTGGGTTTAATAGGGGTATTGTCCCAGGTGAGGGGAACCACATCACCAGGAATGGAGAACATAAACATTCAAACGATGAGACTGCACTATGGAATGACTGGGTTGTGATGCATCAACTTTTATGGGAAAAAATCTGTGTCAATAGCTGCTGAGTCTCCAGCCAGGGCAGCTATATATCCTTCCTATCAGAAAACCAAATCAAACCATCCCACCAACCTACTCAGGGAATCTTCTATCCCTCTGCCCACCCCTATCTCCACCCCCAGAGATGGGTCAAGAGGTCTTGCTGGAAACCACTGTTACCTTTTTTCTTCTTGACTTCCCTTCCAGTCAAGAGGGAAAAGGTCAGACAGTGAGTAGAGGAGTTGTAGGTAAGGTGGTAAAGCGAGTTCACGTCCATGGCTAAGATGTCCACGGGGAACTCTGGAGTGGAAGAGAGAGGGATTCTTCCTTCAATTTTTTAATTTTATTTTTTTAACCAAAAATGTAATATGGATTTTTTGTTCTAGCAGTATAGTAAACCAGATATTCTAAAGTGCCCTGTTGTTACGAAACAACCAGATCTTAGAAGAAAAAGACTTTTTAACGCATGAGCAGGCTCAGAGTAATTAAGGGAAATCTTGAAGGTTCCTCTCTACAGCACTCCCCCTCCAATATCTCTCAAGAGTGAAATGACAGCAGAGCAGGGAGCAGCAAGCAAGCACACAAAGCGATGTCACCCTAAGGGCAAAGGCAGACATAACTGTTGTGCTAGGTCAAGAGAACAAACATTGGGCCAGCTAGAAGGAAATTTACAGGCATCTATTTCCCCTTATCCCAGCCATAGGAATCAGATGCTTCTTCAACAATATTTTAGTCTCTTGCAGAATCACACTGTCTTGTGTAGAATCATTTCATATCTGACAACGTAAGAATTAAAATTTAGCACCCCCGTTACTGGTGGAAAATCTCAATCATTCTTATATAAACTTCATCAAATCTTTGCTTATTGTTCCCCCAAATATGGTCATTTCACTGGTTAGGCATGAAATTGTTAGGAAATGTTAAGCAATTCATTCGTTGACATGGCTCATTCAAATTCATAAAGAAAATGGCAAACCAGACCTCACAAGTAGACAAAGATTATAATCAGAGACTGCACACTGCGTGATGCAAACACGTGAACAATCACCTTTGCTAGTGATCCAAAAGTTGGAATTAGACCAACTTTCAGTACCTTCTAACTGAGCAGAAATGAAAAGAACTAACAATAGCAATGCTGGTAAAGATGGAACAAAATTAGTCAACCCAGCTGGTGTAGAGTAAATCCACCGACAAAGCAATATTTAGGAAGAGCTATACACATACTAAGACTCTCTGCCTCAATAATCCCTCTCTTGGGAAATCAATCTTAATAACCAATACAACAGAAATAAGAAGTGATGTACATAAACTTGCAGACTATAATGCATATTATACTAACAACAAATAATCTTGGGGGCCGGCCCAGTGGCGCGGTGGTTAAGTGCTCACGCTCTGCTGCAGCGGCCCAGGGTTCGCAGGTTCGGACCCCGGGCACCCACTGACGCACAGCTTGCTAAGCCATGCTGTGGCGGCGTCCCATATAAAGTAGAGGAGGATGGGCATGGATGTTAGCCCAGGGCCAGTCTTCCTCAAGAAAAAAGGGGAGGATTGGCATCAGATATTAGCTCAGGGCTAGTCCTCCTCACACACACAAACACACAAAACCCTGGAAACCTAAGCATTTGGTTAATTATGGAACATGAACATTAGAAGGAGTCTACACCCACTCAAAATGACAATTATTAAAAGTATATAGCCATGTTGGAAAACATTTGTGTCTGTCAAGTAAAGGAAACTGAGAAACAGAAAAATTGTGGTATTGTTAAAAATACAGAGAGAGACAGATAGACAGAAAAAGTGAACTGTAAAAGTGAAAAATAGCTATTATGCAAAGATGGCAAGATTTTGTTGTTGTTGTTATGTTTTATTTAATGATGTTGCCATCAACTAAAAATGAAGGAGCAGTCCAGTTTTCTTTCATGACAAGCCAGGACTAGTGGGTATTAGGACAGGAGAAAAGGCTGGAAGCAGTCTTATTGCTATGAAAATATTCCTTTAGCAAGGGGTATATTCTGGCTACAGCTTTAAGGGACAAATACTCCAGACTCAGTTACAGCTTTGGTCTACCTCATGCAATAAGATGGTCCATAAAAGCAAAATTCAGGCAAAATAAATCGACAGAGTTTGTATCTTCTTTTTAATGCCCTGAGAGAGCTATCTAATTCAAGTCCTTCTAGGACGAATGCTTTTCCAAAAGAAATGGATCACTACTTCATTTATATTTTGTTATTTATATATTTTTTTCAAACTCAGAACCAAGTGCCAACAAGCGAGAGAGATTTCCTGGGGAGTGATGGAGGGATGGCCTTCTCAGCACTCTGCTGATGCAGCAGGATGCAGAAATCACCCAACAGCTCTCCAGAGTTCAGCTCAGCTCTGCGAATTCTCCTCCACTAGGTTAACCACAAGGCGCAAGGGATGTGGAAGCCACTGCATCCCGGGTGAAAGCTTGTGATCCTGCAAGAACGCTTAAACCCCTTATGCGGTGGACTGCTAAAGGTGACCATCGTTTCCTTTCCAAGGCAAGGAAACATAAGGTTCAGGTAGAGCGCCATGGGCAGGTCTGAGGGTGGGTGGTTGGGCCAGGGCTACCAGGACATCTCCCCGGGGGACTCTCCTCCCCATACAACAGACCATCCAGCAGCTGTCCCCACAAGTGAGGTGGAGCTCGAAGCCCTATATGGAACACAAGGTGCCAAACTCCGTGTACGCTGGTAACCACCTGCATAAAAAATTACCGAATGATCCGAAGACCTGCCTTATCACGGTTTAGCTGATCCCGAACAGAACCAGCACAGAGTAAATTCCCTCAAAACGGAGATCTCCATTTCATGGTCAATAGTGGGAGGGATATGTTTGATTGGAATTTTATCTTAGAAAAGTAAACCAAAATTTATCAAAAATAACCTCCTTTATCTTGTATTTAACCAAAATTTGTTGATACAGTAAGCACATGCTAATTCTTATAAGAAATAAAAATCTGTGGATTTTTTTTTGAGTCCACGTGATTTTCTTTTTCCTAAATGGTTGTGTGATAGCAATGACACATGTCCCTTCATGTTGGCCTTTTGCAAAAATATCCAAGGGCTTTATCAATTTTTATTGTTAACCCTTTGCTACACAGATCATCCTTTCTCCACGGAATCATTACACTAGACGACTTTCCCTTCGTCAGTGGGTACCTCATTCTGCCCCGTCATAGCACTCATCAGTGGCTTCGCACGGGAATCAAGCAGCTTTCCAATGTCACTTTCACTAACTTCATAAAATCCTACATTTTTTTCCCAAGGTTTGCAATTTTACTATGCAATTTAGTTGCACTATATGTGTGTATTATTATTAGATGTTTTAACCTCTGACCATCAAGGGAAGCCTGACATTCAGTGGACAGAGAGAGATGCTAAATGGGGACAGATTTCATAGGTGTCTTCCAGATCCCATTTCCTCCCGCCTCCAGAGATTATTTCCTCCAGCTTTGCATCTATCATTCCCCTTCATGTTTTTACACTTGCACTTTCTATAATGTACCCGTAAGCAATATATTATTATTTTGCATTCTTTTAAACTTTAAATAGTATCATACCAAATCTATCTTTCTATAACTTGCTTTTCTCTTTTGCTTAACACTATTTTTTGAGATTTATCTATATTGCTATGAGTGCTTTATTGTCTGATTCATTTTCACTTCTCATTATGTTCCATTGTCTAGACTATAATTTATTTATTTTTCTCCCGTTTAGGACATCTAGGTTGTTTACTTTTTTTTTGTTATTCCAAACAATTCTGCAATAAACATTGTGATACAACTTCTTCCACACGTGTGTGAGCTTCTGTAGGGCAGTGTGACTCTCAAGTGTGGCCTGTGGATTGGTATGAATTCACACCAGGCCAGACCAGGTGAGTACAAAATTTGAGAATAAACACTTAGAAAACTTTCTAGCAATTTGATATTGCTGTGACATCTTTATCATATTTTTAAAAGGGTTGGTTCTCAAGAGATTGGAAATTTTACAGATTGGCCCTTCACCACAGATAGTTTGAGTAGCACAGCTCTAGGGAATGACCTAGGAGAGAAACTCCTGGGTTGTAAGACACTAGAGCATCTCCCACCTCACTGATGCCACCAAACTGCTCTCCACAGGAACTGCACCAATTGACACACTCGCCTGCAGTGTTTGAGACTTCCTGTTGCTCTACCTTTACCTCAACTCTTGGAAACATCAAATGTTTAAACCGGGGATTTGACCTTTCCACTGTACTCTTGTTGCTATTGTTTGAACTTTCACGTAAGGGCTGAAGCTTGGGTACCCACCTTTCTCCATCTGTCCAACACCATAGCCACTTCTCCTGACTGCGCCAATCAGACAGCTGAGAGCCATCTCCTTGGCGTTGATCTCATCCACAAGGCACCTCGTGATGTCCAGAGGGTTGGCGCCTACTAAAGAAATCATCGAAGGCAACTCATTTTTCTGCAGGCGTGAGGCTAATGCTTCCAGAAGAGGACATCCGCAAATGGGTCAGGAAATAAGGGTGGAGTGAAGATCTACTCCTAGGGCAAGGAAGCGTGAGGGGGCTCCTAATGGGAGGGTCTCGAGCTCTCAAGACCTGTCAGGTGGCACTTTGCTCTCCACCCCCCTTACTCTGCTCTCTTCCTACTCATAGGCCTGGGTACGGATGCTGTTGGTATTTAAAATAATGTAGCTTCTAGAAGACTGGATTACTGATGCGGATCTAGGTCCCAGCCTACTGAGCTCTCTCTTGCTGCCCACCGATTGGCCCTCCCAACTCGCCCCCTCCTCCTGGGTGCTGCCTCTCTCCACCATCATTTCCACAAACTCTATCCTTCAGTACCTCTGACCCTGCACTGTTCTCCACAGCCAACCTTCCAATCTGGGCTCAGCAAAGTTGGGGGAATGGGAAAAAAAAGCAGAGAACAGAGAGGGGTGAGAGGATGATTCTTGGGAGTAGTTGTGGGAAGGAGTTCAATTTCTACAGCAGACTCATGGCTGCCACCTACTCCCAGTGCATTCTTATATACCTATCTGGGGTGGGTGCAGTGGACACACACATATTTATCTAGGCCAGACCCTTCTAGGCCCCCCCAAAAATGGAGAAGGATCTGGCAAGCCAGCCTTACCATAGACTTCTCAGTGACCGTCACCTTCAGGTTCATAATCTCTGGCAGCAGGTGGATGGACTGCTGCTGGGGCTTGTGCAAGGCCTCATGGGCAAAGGGCACCAGATGGCCATGGGTGGGGGAGTGGGTGGAGAACTTGGCTGGCCTAGCGGATGTGGGCAGCATCGGCAGCAGTGGTACTAGGGGTAGAGACAACCAGACGGGGGCCGGCATGGGGGTCTACTCCACAAGCACCACGGGGGCCGGGGCTCCACTGCTGATCTCTAGGCCAGGGATGTTGGATGGGGTAGGTACCATAGGGTCAGTGATGAGCTCCTACCAAGTGAACTTGGAGATGTTTCTGATGCCCTTAGGCACAGCAGTGCCTGCCTTCCGGCAAATGATGAGCAGTTTGGACAGGCCCTTAGGCACGGCAGTACCTGCCTTCCGGGAAACGACAAGCAGTTTGGAGAGGTGGGCCAGCAGCTCAGGGGCCATGGCTGTGTACTGCTGGCCCAGTTCTCGGTTCCTCTTGATGTCGCTCGTGTTGCTAGAGCAGGCACACTGTTGGGTAACACTGTCCATGTCCGACAGGAGGGACTTTCAGCTGTAAAGAGTCAGGGCACCTTGAGAGGTGAATGAGCGCGAAAGTTCTCACCTCAGGTGAAGCCTTAGAGATGGACAGAACAGCAGGTCCTCTCCAGGAAGGATAAGGAAATAATTAGTCACTCTCCCCACAGTAGGGCAGAGGGATGCCCCTCCTCTTCTTTCTTCCCAGTGACACCGTCAGATAGACTCACATCAGTGAGTCGCTTTGGGAAGGGCTGGGGGATGAGCCGGTTCCAGAAACGGTTCCAGGGACAGTCACACTAACTGAGTACCTACAGAGGGACCCTGGGGGCCTGGGAGAATGGGAAGGGAGAAAGGTTCCACCACACCTTTCGCAGCTGGAGATCTGTGGGTGGGAGATCTGCTTGTGGTCTGTTAATGAAAACCTCAAAAACAAAAGATGTTTCATTGGCTCTCTCCAGAGGCAGGTGATGTGGAAGCTCCCGGTTGCAGCGATAGGATGGGCGTGGAATTATTCCACATGTATATCCAAGGGCAGACAGGAAAGAATGAGGAGAATGAATTTCCTTAATTCAATGACTAGTATCATTTGCCACATCTCATCAAATCTTAGATTTGATGTAATTGGTGGTTAGATGCACCATTTTGCAAGAAAGAAAATGAATGTAAGGTGTCATTGACTGTAAGATGTATCACAACTTCAGAGATGTTACAAGGGGAAAAATGCATACCTTGAAATTAATAAACTATAATGAATATAGTTTCCCACTTGAACACAATGTCTTGAGGGCCCTGAGTGCTCACCAAGTGGATATATGTGGCTGTGAGGTTAGCAGATCAGCGTACTCGTGTCTGGGTCAGCTATGGTGGTTTTAGCCTGATGTACTTCTCAATTGTACTTTGTTCTTACTTTCTTAATGTATACCAAAAACAGACCACTGGTTGAGGAGAGGAGGGAGTGTGAAGGACGATTTGATGAACACAAACATGGCTAGAAAAATCTGCAAATAGACTTCCAGGGTTTTGTAATCGGATCTGAAAGTTTCAGTCATCTGATCAAAATGAACCCCCTAAGGCCACTCTTGAGTAATGTATCAATCTAAAATACATTTACAGGGCCGGCCCCGTGGCTTAGTGGTTGAGTGCGCGTGCTCCGATGCTGGCGGCCCGGGTTCGGGTCCGGGGTGCTCACCGGCGCACCGCTTCTCTGGCCGTGCTGGGGCCATGTCCCACGTACAGCGGCTGGAAGGATGTGCAGCTATGACATACGGCTATGACATACGGCTATCTACTGGGGCTTTGGGGGGAAAAATAAATAAATAAATAAAATCTTAAAATACATTTACAGAAACATAAGGTCACTTCCTGATCTTACACTACACAACGATGCTGATTTATTTCTTTTAACTCCTGAGGGGCTTTGTGAGAACACAAGCCTCTGTAAAAGACACTCAAGGGCTGGCCCTGTGGCTTAGCGGTTGAGTGCTCGCGCTCCACTACTGGCGGCCCGGGTTCGGATCCCGGGCGCACACCGACGCACCGCTTCTCTGGCCATGCTGAGGC